TTGCCGCAGGCCAAGTGTTACTTTGGGAGGACCAACTGGTGTCGTCAGGTCCGAGTGTGCAAGTGTGCAGACCGTGGGCAAGTGCCGCCGATAACGGTCCACGGTCTGGGCGTAGGTGTTAGACCCTCGATAGGACCGAGGTGTCAGATTGTGGCGCGTAGGTCACAGCACTCTGACAGCAGACGCTCAAGCGATGTGTTAAGCGCAAGGGGTCTGGGAACCTCCAGGGGGCTGTGTGGTAGCGGTAAGGAGGCCTTGGGCAGTAATACCAGCGTGGGGGCCGGTGAGTCTCAAGTAGGCTGGTTGTTGGGTCCAGGAAGCTTGTCTGGGCTTTACAAAGAACATAGCAAGGTCTGGGATTGCAATCAACAAGCTAGTGCTGAATACATGTTTGACGACCAACTTTGCCCGCTCCAAGAGTTGTGCAAATGGTTGCCGCTGGAGGCGGACCTGCTGCATGATTTCGGACACGTCTTGCTGCCGCGGAAGACTTGCAGCATTGCACTCTTCTGCTCACCTCTTGTGCCTTGTAAATAAGTCGGTGTGGCCTCGCAACCAACCGCCACCCGTCCGGCAATGCAAGATCTTGCTTGCCCATTGGTCGAGATCCTGACAAAGCCATGGTGGCCACAGCAAAGAAGCTGGACATATACAGCAAAGCTTGCAGCAGGTGTGTCAGTGTAGTGAAGCGGTTCCAGCCCTTCCCCTGCACGTGCGGTCTTCCTCTCACCCGCACGCGCGCTATTCGACACACGAACGCGCATCCGCTTTCTCGGCCAGCTGGCGCACCTGCATTCACGACGACGAAACACGACTCGGCAAGGCGGACAAGTCCATTTACACTTGAACGACCCACGCTTTCTGCGCATCTAATCGTTCTCCCGCAACTGCATCCACAAAGACGCACGACATGACCAGCAAAAGATAAAAGTCCATTTACAATCGATACTCTATGTGCATGCAAGCTAGAACCAACCGTCTTTGGAGTCGGTGTGGTGCTGTGAGCTGCTGGCCGAGTCGATGCGTTTCATGACTTCGCCCCAGGCGGTCTGTTCGAACGACTCGATGGCGGGCGACGCTCTGCGCACCACCTCCTCCCTCGACACGCCGCTGCGCAATCCACCCTCTTCTTCCCGCTCCGTGGGGATTTGCAGTGCGAGTGCTGGGCGGGAGGAGCTGGGGTGGTCGTCGTTGAGCGTGATGGTGGGTACGCCGTCGGTGTGCATTTGGGCGCGGAGGGCGAGGAACCTGCGGCGGAGGTATCCTACTTTGAGCAGGCCGCGGACCCGGTCGAGGCGCAGTTGGTGGTCGATGCGTTCGGACATTGCCGTGCGTTCGACGAGCTCGTCGATGCTGAGCGCCTCGTGGGCATCGATGAGCTTCGCGCGCGCCAGCACCAGCATCATGTCGGTGAAGCTCACGCCCTTGCGTGGATGCGCCACCAGCACAGCTTCGTGGTATACGCGGTTGAAACGCTCGCGTCGCATGCGCAGCTCGCCCGCATCGACGCTCGCCAGCGCGCGCGCCAGACGTTCTGCATCCGTCTGCCCCGCATCCTCCTGAGGTGTGAGCGAGGTGGGCGAGGCGGGCCAGTTAAAGAAGGCATCCTTGGCCTTGCCGTCGCGCAGGGGCGATCGCAACGGCGACGCACTCTTCAAAAAGTCGAGCGCGCCCCTCCCCTTCCCTCCCGCCACCGTGGGACTCGCCGGCACCTCTTGGCTTAGCGCCGCCCTGAGCACGCGCAAGCTACACTCTGGCGGATAGAGCGCTACCTCGAGTCCTCCCTTTACCAACGCGAGGAACGGCACAATCTGCTCTTTCTTAATGTACCCCTTCCTGGCCCGATCGAACCTAGCCCAGCTGCTCTTGAAGTGGCGAATGTCGCTCGAGGAGAGCACCGCCTTGCTGCCGAGGTCAAAGATGTACGAAAAGTTCTCCACCACAGTACCGGTGAACATGTTGAGGAAGATGTACATCGAGATGACGTTCCAGCCGATGAAGAGCACGTAGGCCCACGCCTCGCTGCCGCAGTCGCTCGTGAGGTAGTTGGCCGACGGCGTGCACTGCGGCGGCGAGACGGTATAGTCGTGCATGAAGCTGTTCCATCCTTCGCCGGTGGAGATCATGCTGAGGAAGACGAGCGAGCCGATCATAGTCGAAAAATTCTTGGCGTACGTCTCGTTGGCGCCCCACTTTGTCAATCCAAACACCTCGACCAGCATGATCGCCCACACCAGGAACATGGTCAGCCACAGCAGGAAGAGCGACAGGATCGCCGGCAGCGATGCAAATGCCGTCTTGAACAGCTGGTTGAGCGAGCGGTTCTTCTGCACCAGCTTGAGCGCCACGCACACCAAGAACAGCTTCTGCAGCTGCACGATCGCCTGCGTCTCGTTGGCGCCCGTCAGCAGCGGCAATGTGGTAGCCAGCGTGCCAGACACGACAAAGAGGTCGTACAAGTTCCAAGGGTTTTCGCGGAAGCTGCGCCATCCGAGGCCCAACAGCCTCGCTGCAATGTCGAGCGCATACACCGCCGTAAAGCCGAGGTAGAGGGCGTCGCGCAGCCGGTTGGCCCAGTCGGGATCGGCGTACTGCTGCGTCATGAGCGTCACGATCGTGGCGACGTACATGAGCGTCATCCCCCTACTCCACCAACCGTTCTTGTTGAGCGTGCGGTCGTAGCACCACGCGCGCAGGCTCTGGCCGGGCCTACGCTTCGGCCGCTTCGACGGCCGCTGTCGAACGATCAAGCGGCGCAGATCGATCCACTGTCTCTGAGCCGCCGTCTGGTACGCTGCACCGGAGAAGGTCTGGAAGTTTTCGATGATCACCGACACGAAGAGCGTGAGCACCGTGGTGCTGCCGACGAGGTTGTAGATCAAGAAGAAGAGCGCGTTGACTTGGCGGTTGTCGTTCTGCAGCTGCCGATCCTTGCCCGCCACACTCATGGCGGCGGTCATGACGTCAATCCAGCCCTCGAGCGAGATGATCTCGAACAAGATCAGCAGTGCGCCCTTGAAGTCGTCAAACGAGTACACGCTGCCTTCGGTCGGATTGCCCCACACGCGCGGGGCGAGGAAGTTAAAGTCGCCGGGCGAGTTCATAAACTCTCCCGCGCACTCGAACTTTCCCTTGATCGCATCCGAGCCGTCGTTGCACGAGTAGAGCAGACCGGCAAACAGGTTCTGTCCCCACACGGCGTACGGGATGATGTAGAGGATCGACAGGATGGACGCGTCGAGGATCCTGCCCGCACCCGCGATCATGACCGCATGGAAGGTGTCTCGCATGAGCGACGAGAGGTTGATGAGCCTGAGCGCGCGGAAGGCCTTGAGCGCGCGCGTGAAGCGCGACACACCGCCGATCACCGCCAACTCGGTGGCGACGTTGACGAGGAGCGTGACAAGCACAAACAGGTCCAGCGCGTTCCACACGCTCAGCACGTACGCATTTGGCGTGAATGCCAACCCGTCCGCCACCGTCTTGACCGCAAACTCGGCCAGAAACAGCGACGACAGGCTGAGCTCGAGGATCGAGAACCACGAGGCACGGATCAGGCCGTACCTGTCGTAGTAGTCGCGTCGGTAGACGGGCGTCGCGATCGCCGCCGACACCACCGAACCGACAATGGCGAGGAATACGGCGATCTGGAACAGCTTGTGCCTGAACGGCGACACGGGCCTTCCAAACAGTCTTTCCCCATGCGACGAGGGCACAAGGCTCTGGCAGAAGCGACGGAAGCGGTTGTGGTTGGAAAACAGAAAGTACGACTTGTCGTACGACGGATGGCTTGCGATGAACTTGGCCTGCTGGATGCGCGCGTCGCTGGGCGAGCGCTGCAGGAACACTGCTGCATCGTCGTTCCCGGTGGCGAGCCCCAGATCGGAGCGCATGCGCGCCAGTCGTCGGTTGCTGGCAAACTCGTGTGCGGCCTTGTCTGACGGATCCGCATCGTACGTCGCAGCGTGTGCGCGGGCGTCTGGCTGCAGCATGTCGTCGGCGTGGATGCTGCTGCGCAGCCTGCGCGCATTGAGGTTGTCGAGCGGCACGGCCTCTTCGGGCTTGTCGAGGCGGAGCATCTTGCGCACCGTATTGACCGTGCGCTGTGCCGTCGCCGTCGAAGTATCCACGACGTGATGCATGGAGAGCGGGCGCGCCTTCTTCTCGTCGGTGCGCGCATCGATCTTGGAGCCGCCGACGATCTTGTTGGTGCGCGCGCCCAATCCCGCGCCTTGGTCGCTTCTCGCCGGATCCGAAGCAGCGGAGCCGGTGTGCGCGGCATTGCGCCTCTTCAAGTATCGGTACGGACTGATCTTGTCGAGGATGCGCTGGGTGAGCGTGATGGGTCTTGGCTCGTTTCGGCGCAGATACTGCTCCAGCTGCTGCTGGCGCTTCTCGCTCTCTGCCACGCTGAAGTTCTCGTTGATCACCGCGATGAACATCTGGAGCACGATGAAGTTGGCAAATAGGAACCAGCCGGACAAGAAGATGGCGGCGATGACGGCCTGCTTGAACTCGACGCCCGTCGAGGTGGCGCTGAAGAGCACGTCGGTCCAGTTTTCCGAGGTGAAGATCTGGTACATGGCGAGGAAGGAGTTGAACGAGTGTTTGAACGTCATCTCTGTCCACTCGCCGTCGTCGTCCTGGGGTATATCTCCACGGAAGAGCTGGGTTGCGATGAGCGATGCGAGACCGACCATGAGGAGCAGGAAGAGCACCATGTTGAGCATCTTGTTGAGCGAGCCGAAGGCGCGGACGAGCAGCACGCGCATGCGCGGGATCGCCGCGATCACGCGGTAGAAGCGAGCCAGCTGGAAGAACGTCAGCCACGCATACACGTCCGAGTTTTTGATCACGGGGATCTGGATGATGCTGGTGATGAAGGCCAGCGTCAAGTCGGCACGGTTCTGCTTGGAGGCGAGGAATGCGCGCCAGTCTCCATCCAGCACAAACGCCAAGAAGCGCATGGCGATCTCGAGGTCGAAGGCTAGCGTAAAGTAGAGCTCGATGCGCGATCGTTTCTGCAGCTCGCTTGGAGGCAGGTAGGTGGCGCGCGAGGCCTGGATCGCAACATCAAAGATGATCGCGAGGATCCAGAGATACTTTGTATACCCCCAGACGCGCTTGAAGCCAAGCGCAAGGCTCTTGAGCCTTCCCCTCGAGCTTGGCTGCTTTTCGGCATCGGCAGCTGGGTCCTGCAGCTTCTGATCGGCAAAGGCGCTGCGCTGTGTGCGCGCGGTGAGCGTGGCAAAGCTGTTTGTGATGACGGCGACGAACAAGTTGGCAAGCCAAAAGTTGAGCACGATGATGCCTATGATAAAGTAGATGCAGGAGGCGTAGTAGTCTGCGTCGATCATGTCGTACATGGTCTGCGACCAGTTGTTGGACGAGATGACGATGACGACCTCGAGGAGCGAGGTGACAATGTTGTCGAACGACTGCGTGTTGCTCTGCGGATTCGACTGCTGCTCGAGGCAGATCTGACCGCGCGGACAGATGAATCCCTTGGGGGACGAGCCGGACGGGCTGCCGTTGGCGAGAAGGTGGCCGAGCTTGTCTCCCGCCGTGGTCCAGTAGCCTCCGCAGAGCTGGGAGAGGGTGTTGTTCTGACCGGGCTGACCGTTGAGGTCGCCGAGCCAGACGCAGTTCCTGCGGTAGGAGCCCTGGAAGCTCTGAATGCCGATGATGCCAAAGAGGAGCATGGCGAATCCGGTGAAGAAGGTTACGCTGAGCAGGATGAAGGCGGAGGTCTTGAGCGAGTGGAGGATGGTGGTGGTGCCGCTGGTGGCGGTGAGGAGACGTGCGCATCGGAGCACGCTGAGCGCGCGAAAGATGTAGATGTGGTGGTTCGGGGTGGCTTCCTGGTGGGTGAGGGCGAGGGCGAAGGCGATCCAGAAGGCGAGGATGGCGACAAAGTCGACGCGATTCCACGAGTGGCGGAGGAAGGCATAGTGGACGGATTTGACGCGCTGCTTCTCGACGGCCTCGGCAAAGGGCGTGTTGGCGTTGTGCCAGAAGGAGGGTGCGGTGGATTCGGAGAGGAACATGCTTGTTTCGCTCTGGTTGAGGCGACGGCCTGGGTGGCGTGTGGGCGGCGGGGCGGCGCTGGCCTGGTGGTGGTCGGTGAAGCCCATGTCTCCGGCGAGGACACGCTGAGCGCGATGCTTAAAGTTGCCGCCGAGGGTGCCGAGCGTGTCGAGCGTGTTGGACCTGCTCATCTGGCGTTTGTGTTCGGAGTGCTGGGATTGTGCGGGCTTGAGGCTACTGTCGACGTCATCGAGGGGCGCGGCGTAGAGCGGGGGCGGATTGATGACGAGGCCCGAGACGATGATGCGAGCGAGGATCTCGAGGGTATAGAGGACGAATATGGCGAGCAGGATGATGTTGGAGGTGTCGCTGAAAAAGTGTTGCGGGCGAGGATGCTGATAGACGCTCTGGGCGGACTGTAAGACGAGGGTGACGGTGTTGGCGAGGATGAGGAGGAGCACGACGGGTTCGATCCACCACTGTGCGAGCAGGGATGCCAGGGCTGTGCGGATCTTGTTTTCGGGAGCGAACAGGCCGAGACTCTTGCCGCGGAGCAGCTGGATGTGGTGTGTGGTTGGGCTGATGTGCGGTTGTGCCGACGGTGGTGAAGGTGATGGATGGACGGTGCGTGCCGAGTCATCGCTGTCGTCCTGGTCTGCATCGTGGTCGTTGAGCGGGAGGTGTGTTTGTTGGTTGTGGTGTACGATGCGCCTGCTGATCCGACGAATGGACTTGGAGAGGCGGTCGAGGTTGGACCTGGCCTTTGCAAAGTTGCCCGGGTTGTGGCCGGCGGTGGCGTATACGTCTGCGCTCGATTTGAGGTGCGGGGGTGGATCTTCCAGAGCGCCTGGGGATGCTGTGCGATGGTGATGGTTGAGGATGGCTCTGTCGTGGTCGTGATCCTGATGCGTGTATGTGGCGTCTGATTCGCGACTGTAGCCGTATTGCATGGGCTGGGCGTGGAGGTCGTTGAGCGACGAGGCTGGATGCAAATTGGCGAGCGGCAGCGATGATCTGCGTGGTGGAGGGAATGAATCGTCGAGTGGCTGTGGGGATAGTGGCAGGGGAGCGTCCAAGATGCCAGCATCTATCGACGACTCTGCGCGGTGGTGCGATGTGCGGAATGGCGGTTGGGAAGCGGACTGCTGGTTGAGGTCCCAGCTGAGCCTGCGGACGAGGCGCTCATCGTTGGACGAGTGTACGGGCGAGGCGATTGTGCCAAAGTCGTGCATGTGCTCGTTGCCGTAGTAGTAGCTGTTGATGTAAATGTCCGAGTGGTGCGAGGGGATGCTGCTTGCGCTGACCGAGTCTCTGTACTGGGGAGATGCGGGCGATCGCAGCGGGTCGTGCGTGGGCGGCACGAGGCTTGTGGCCGTGGTAGGAGGCTGCTGCTCGTCGTGTGACGAGGGTGGTTGTGCGCTCATCGTTGGATATCCCTCGTCATCCTGGAGGAGGAGGAGGAGGAGGAGGA